CTGCGGCAAACGGCGCACGGGGGCGATCACTCACAACGAAAACGAGTCACAGCCGACGGGGCGCGCTGTCGCCACCACGGGCGAGGCGTCGGCTGATCGGCAGCGGAGAACAGGTTACAGGTTAGTGCTTGCACACTGGAGCGGAGTCCCGCTGCCGTAAGAATGCCGGACGCCGAGTCCAGTTAAAAGCTGTCCTCAGCACGTTGATGCATGAGCAGTGGGACAACGGGCTGTTGTCCCCAATGCTCGTACAATTAGGGACGCGTACCTGCGCTTATGCATGAACACACTTTTCTAAAAAAAAAAACCGCCTGTAAAGATGCATGCGTATGTAGCCGTCCAGACCACATTTGTGAGCTCGGATTTTGGTCTCCCAAACTAAACCCGTGTCCCCTCACGCATCACATGTTTCCGGGAAGAACGACATTTCAGAGAGAACACGCGTCATAATATCAGCGACAGCACCAACCCATCATGCTGGCAATGAGCCGCGTCCTTTTTGGATGTTTGCGTTCTACTCCAGTTGTTACTGCAGTTGCCACTTGCCACAACCTACGCTATATTTGCTCCAAGTATGCGTATTAAAAGAGTTTCGGAAGATGCGCTGACCGCCTCAGCTTATTTTCATTTTTCGAAGGCTTGACCACCATTTCCAAACAATGCAGTTGACAAGCACAGCGAACACAAAACAGTTAGGCATTGGGTTAATGCCGGACGTTCGGAAGGCTCAACATGAGAAGAGACTTGACCTCCCAATCGACCATAGATGTGCCTTTCGACGCTTTGCGGGTCACTCCAATGTCAACGGTACCAAAAGACTGTCCGATGACCTCTTTCAACTCCTAGATTACTGCGACACGATGCCGCTGGATTCACGAGTACGGCCCGGGACGCGCCGCGGGCACAGACGGCCAATTTTGAGCGGCCTCTTCAGCATATAAATGAGGGGAAGCCCGCTGGAGGAAAGCCTTTCCTCAACCTGATTGTTTCAAAAGGCACATAAATAGCAAGGGAATCCAACGTAGCACCGGAGTGAGAATTTGGGACCAAGCCAAACGCTGCGAACCGGTTCATTTGGTATTTGAGGCTGCACGCAGTCCAATGTGCAAATAATACGAATATTAAACTTAGGCGCGGCCTGAACCTTCTGTACACTGCCCGACCACCTCGATGCATGTGTTCCCGACAGCTCACGAGTTATCATTCAGCACAGGCCGACCCGACTTAAGCTTATGCTCCAAAGTCAGATGTTCAAAACCTTCTCAGAAAGTTCAGAACGACTGGAGAGCTATTTTCTGGCGCCTTTCACGGCCAATGTCTTGAGCATTATCACTCTGTTGGAAGTGGTAGGCGTGGGAAGTTTTCGTACGGCAGAAATTAAAAACGGCCTTATCATTCATGAGGCGAACCTAAACTCTGCTTCGCGAGCAGTCCAATGTGCTATTTTAACATGCTGTTTTAACATTCTCGTGATTAAATTTTCTGTAGCACCAAGGCGACAGTGCCTGGCCCCCCAAAAAGGCGTTAAGATCTCACTCCAGGATTCCATTAGCATGGAACTCGGTGTCTGTCCCGGTGGATCAGTTGGTTAGAGCGCCTGCCTCCCGGTTCAGCCATCCGTGGCTGGATGGGTTCGAGTCGCTTTAGGCGCTCGCTATTTATCCTTGACAGGCATGGCCTGCGGCCGGTGGCAGCGGTCGCGCTAAAGGTCAGTTGACGTCAGGGGGCAGGACGGACCGCGCTCAGCATTGCGGCACGTTAAGCTTCCGCCACTAAATTCTGCCGTTGCCTGGAATTGCGCGATCGGATGGTAGGGGTCAGGGCTCACACAAGAAGCACTGCTTAGTGTAAGCGCAGATCCTATAAATCCATTCATTCAAAGTGTTCGGATCAAGTTTCTAAAAAACAAACCCTTGATGGGAATTGGTCGCTTTGCGCCGGACTCAACTTAATTTCACGCGGTATCCGGCGGACTTAACTCATCAATAAAGGTTATAAACGAGCCCGTAGCATGCGATGTGCACATTACATGGCTCTGATATTTGACGCAAGGATTGCTTGTTTGAGACACTTGAGGTGTCTAAGTATGGTGCAGCGAATGCTAGCGTCGAAGTTTTGCTCATAGCTCCGTTCGACGGAAACCAATGATGTCAACCTATTGAATGCCAAAGAAGGGATTTAAAAGGCCTGCGACAAGCGCATAAATCTGGATTATTTCGCCCATTCAGAGGCACCGAGGAGCTAGCTAAAATCGGAAATGAACGACGCTTGAGCCGTGTGGGCCATAAGGAGACGAGCATCTTCCCCCACAAACAGGGCCAGATAGTAGGTGATTCTGCAAATACGTGACAGTGAAAAGCGTCCTCTATTCGCATCATCCTGGCTTTGTAGCCATTTATCATAGCGTCGTAGCTTATAAGCAACTACTCGTGAGGTATTGCTAAAGAAGGTCACCATAGAGGCGCCAAATTAGGATGGGCAGACGGGAAAGCCCCTCCCTTCCCCGCCAACGCCCCGCAACTTTTCATATGAACCCTCTGGTGGTGCATAGAAAGAACCGGCGTCAAATCCCGTTTTGCCATCTTCACTGAGGCTCTGTCACCACTGGGTCAGCATCCAGCGGTACGCCCTGTATCATTACATGCTGGCATGAGGCTGAGTCAATGTGCCCTACATAAGTTCAATGCATTTCCGACATCACCAACGAGACAATACACCAAAAAAGGCGGGGGAGCAGCTGTCTCGCCCAACTCCGATAAGATTATCATGTCTCAAGCAGCGCAGCGTTCCCCGTTGTAAAACGCAGTGCATTTAGCCTGACAAGTCCTGTCAATATGTGCAGGATCCCTAAATATCGTTCTGCTCTCGGCCGCCCTGCCCGAAATTATTACAAGCTACGGGTCACAGCCGAGACCCGCCTCCGCCGTGCGGCGCTGTAAGCTTTGTTGCCCGTTTAGCGACGCGTCGGTTGGATTACTTTGTTGCCCGTTTAGCGACGCGTCGGTTGGATTTGAGCATAAGCGTCGGGAGCACAACCAGCTTTAAGCGCGCGAAGAACGAAGTAAGGTTTTACCACACGCACTGTGAGTGTGCAGGGCAGCTGGCCAGCAGGGTGGCACGGCCTCCACGGCTGACAGCGGGCCGGGGTCGAGGCGTTCCAGCCCGGTCCCGGCTCCATTTCCGGCTGTAGCGTGGCTGCGGCCCCTGCCCCGGCCCCTGCCCCGGCCCCGGGGCCGACTGGCCGACCGACCGACGTCCCGGCCGACCGTCGTCAGCGGACGTGGACGGTCGATCGGCGTCGCGCGCGCCCGGCGCCGCGCCGTCAGATTGATGGGCTCCTGCTGGACGGTCGCCGGCTATATGACGCGGCGCCACGCTGGCTCGGCCGCCGCCGCTACGTTCCCTCGCCTCCTCCCCCTCCCCCCTCCGCCGGACCGGTCGTGACGTCAGCAACAGCGTGCGCCGCACGAAACGTTGCCGCATGCTTAGGAAAAGTGCCGTGTTCGTGCCACAGTCATGTTGTCAAGTGGCCATGCCGTACGTGGTTGCGTGACTACGGCAGGAGGGACCCGCAGCTCGGGAATAGTTTCTGTACTGGAGAACTAATAAATGCTTTAATCTGTACTCGATTGCCACTGGCTCCAGGACAAGAGGAAAAGGTAACCCTCAGGTAACTTCCCCCTCAGACACCATTTAATGACAGCCGCATACTCTAACCCCATGGCTCAGAACAGATATATTACGCGGTACATGGCCAGCCAGAGCACAGGGTGGAGGCATTGCTTGCACATAACTGCACGAAGAATTTCTTGTACAGAACTGCACTGAATCCAGTCGCCCACTTTCAGCTGAAGGTGCCGAATCGAAGGTAAAGGAAACTGACACTCTTGCTGTCGTAACCAGACGTGTGTAAAGAAAACTGACACTCTTGCTGTCTTGACCAGACGTGTGTAAAGGAAACTGACACTCTTGCTGTCTTAACCAGACGTGTGTTTGGCTTCGGTAAAGTTGCAGCCTACCTCGAAGTCACCAATTTTTATTTACTTTTCAAGTTCAAAGTGGAATCTAGTCATTCGAACGTCGTGTCACTCGGAGAGGAGTATTTGTGTGATTTCGTGTGAGCAGCAGCTGAGTTCAGCATGCTGTTTACTCAATGGTCTTTCAGGTAAATATTATATATATATATATATATATATATATATATATATATATATATATATATATATAAATGCATATCAATTGCAATGAACATCTTAGTACAACTCATACTCTGATGCTGACATTTTGAAATGCGTAGCAAATAGAATGAGACACATCTACAGCTTTTTATTGCGAAATGCATGTGTTATGTAAACTTTTATCTCGCCCATGCGGATCATCTCTTAAACCGTGTTACCGACAACCATTGCCACCGGAAGAAACTCCGTCGGAATCGCCGCTGGAGTAACTCAGTTGAAAATTGAGACAGCGTCGGAGTCGACTGCAAATCACACCGTGCTACCCATACACAGGGTCGGGAATCCCATGCCCTGTGTTAGACCAGGAGTCGATTTCGGAGCAACAGAATCAGACGAATTTCTGGCCGCGACAACATGACTTATGAATCGTTGCGTGTGACGTGAGTTGGTGGCGTTATCTTTTCGCTTGCAGTCTTAAGCGCGTCTCTTCCTTCCGCCGGCTTCACCAGCCGACAGGCGTTCAGCCAGCAGCCTACGGCCGGCAGGCTGCAGCCGACAGATGTTCAGCCGGCAGCCTGCAGCTGACAGCCTGCAGCCGACAGATGTTCAGCCGGCAGACTGCAGCTAGCTGCTATGAGCGAAGACAAGGCCCATTGGTTGCGCGCGGAGAGACGTAATTTCATGTGGGCGGCCGCCAGATGGCCCGCTAAATCTGATTGGCTCCACTACTGGCCACCGTCAGCAGCGTCGAGACTCGCCGCTGACTCTGACCAGCGCTGTGGCGCTCCCATGGCCCTCAGCAGGTATGCCAGAACGCATCCC